GGCTGTCTCCCCGCGCGGGCGCGGCGCGCTGCCGGAGACCCCAGACCCGCGTCCCCGCCCTCCGGGCCCGGGCGGGTGCTCCCAGGGTTTGCGCGGAAGCCCGAACGCTGGCAACCGCGCCTCCAGCCGCGGTGGGCACAAACGCGGAGGGACCCGGGGCTAGGAAGCTCCGCGGAGCGGGGTCCCCTGGAAGCGGGGTCCCCGGGAAGCGGCTCCTCCCAGGCCCCCGGCGACCCGCCCGGGGGTTGCGGCAGCCCCGAGAGACCACGCTGCAGAAAGCGTTCTCCACCGGCCCGGAAGGTGCCGGCCGGGCAGTGCCGCCAGGAGGCAGCGCTGAACCAAAAACGTCCCGGGCGAGGGCGGCCTAGGGGCTGGAGTGCCCAGAGCACCTTCCTGCCAAGAGGTTGCGCCACGCGTATCCCTAACAGAAGGGCGTTGTTGCCAGGCGTGGTGGTGAACGCCTATAATCCCAGCACTTGGGAGGCTGAGGCAGGAGGATCGTTGGGTGTTCGAGACCAGCCTGGGCTACACAGTGAGCTCAAGGCCAGGCTGAACTGCATAGCGAGACCTTGTCTCAAAAAGAAAAAAAAAAGAGGAGGGGGGAAAGTTGTTGGGCTAGCTCAAGAAAAGGGATCTGAAAAGCTTCATGCCATTTAACGCTAAAAGGGGCTTGTACATAAGTAATACTTTTGCGCAGCCCAGCGTTGGCATTTTTTAAAGTCAACATTGCCGCTCCGCACATAGAGCCCCCACCTTTGAGGCCGATCTGGTGGAAGGGTACCCAGGGAAGGGACTTCCCAGCCATCCAGCAACAAGGAAAAGTTGGCCTGAGGTCGTAATTCACCCACTTTGAAGTTGGATTATTTAACAAAAAATTTAGCCAATACTGATTTAGCAGGGATTTCACAACTTTTATGTTACAATAAATTACAAAAACAATGAGGAAGTATGCAAAGCAGTGTGTTGTATGGCTGAGTTGTTTACACCCCTCAGTTCCCACATTATTTCTTCCTTCCTTTTCTTAGCCAGGTCTCCCTTTGTAGCTGGCCTGAAACTCACCATCTTCCTGCTTCAGACCCCCAATGCTGGGATTACAGGCGTGCACCAGCGCACCCAGCTCAATTCCTCATTTCTTCAGTTTCTTCATGAGGTAATAATGATTTGATCTTCCAGTTGTCCTAAAAAGGAAGCTAATGAAAAAGTTCCCACCCTTCCCTCCACAACTTCAGTCTCAGAAAATTTTTTTGTCATTTGCATGCAGAAAGGGGAAGAGGACACAAAACAAGGTGGAACTGGACTTCCAGAGTCAGCTTCACATGTTGGTTTTCCGTTGTCATCGTTGTCATCACACCCGTCAAAAGGCACCTAATTCCCCTGAGCAAAGCCCTGGCACAAAAGCAGCTGAAGGTCGGCCTACAGAACAGAAGGGTTTTAGAGTAAATAGGTTAGACAAAAACGTGAGTGGATAACATGTCCTTGAAAGGCAGAGGAGTTTAAGAGAGGAAAGGCTTGAAGCCCAGACTCTAGTGCTTCACTTCCCTCTTAATTCCCGCCTTTGCTGATGCAGTACAAAGGCCAAAGGATGTCCAGTTTGCGATGACACTGCCTTCCTGTGGTTGTTGAGGCTGATGAAGTCACTGAGTGCTGTCCAGGTGCCAGACCGCTCCCTCAACTGTATTCCAAGAGGTCCCCAGAGCTGACAGTGTCCCATGCCTCCTCTCAAGATCCTAACTCATATTTCCTGCTATTACAGCCTGTGGATGGTCTCCTGCCACGTCATGCTAACTGTGTCAAAAGCTGAACTTGTCAACCTTCCAAAGACCCTTCCCTTCCCGAATTTCCTGGTTCTGATCAAATGATCAAATTTCTCCTCTTGCCCCAGTACTCTGGCTCTTGTTCCTCGATGTCCACAGCTATTGAATGATTGCAGGTGTCCACTTTTGCATGTAGCATTCACATCGTCCACATTCTTGTTCACCTAAATCCATGTGCCCTTTTGGGTGGTTTTACAAATTGCTGGTGTCCTTATGTGTGAGCTAAGACTCAAGTGTTTCTTGTTCCCTTTCCCTAATATAATATAGGTGGTAGTGCAAGCCTGTCATGTAAAACTGTAATCTTTCATGTCAATCCCAGACACTAACTCTTACTATACCCTCTAAACCTTTGGCTTCTACTTGATTCTTCAACTGTCAACAATGGGATGTCTGTGCTATTGTTATAGGAGATATGGCATGGGAAAAGTAGCTGGAAAATGAGCAGGACCTGTCAACTACAAGACACCCAGGCAATACGAGGACCCCATATAAGGACTTCTCATGGGCACCCATGAAGACATGGAAGGCACAAAAGAAGAGTGGCCATCATGGAAAGCCAACATCCTAAGTGAGTGCACAGTAGCCAGTGCTGCATCTATTTTTTTGGTTTGTTTGTTTTTGGTTTTGGTTTTTGCTTTTTTTCTGGTACCGGGAATCGAACTCACAACCTCATGCTTGCCAGGCAAGAGCTTTGCTGCTGAGCTAAATCCCCAGCACCCCTATGCTGCATCTAAATTCAGTGTGTAGTTTTATTTTTGCTTTTACCGTCTTTTTCTCTTTGTTCAGCCCCAGTTCTCTCTGCAGAGCTGGTTTCTCCCATACCCATTTACCTCAGACTTTTCAAATGGTGGTTTTTAGCATCACTATTGGCTTATCTCATCTAATTTTTATTCAAGGCAAGAACCTGGAACACTTTTGATTGTTGAGTGATTTCTAAAGAAACTATCCCTCCCATGCTATTTTGTAAAATGTTGTCAGTCTGTTAGTATTTTCCTCCTTTAATTTCTAAAATAAAAAATAAAAAATAAAAAAAAGAGAAACTATCCCTCCCAAAAAAGAAAATAAAACAAAAGAAACAAACAAACTACCCTGTAACAGTCGGCAAGCCAGCCAGGAGAATACACTTTGGTTTGGCCGGACACGAGAGTAAAGCTCAGGTACTAGATGTAGGGACTCTGGTCCCAGAGAGGAACAGTGATGGGAATGAGGAAAAGATAGACAAGAAATAAGAGCTGGGTCAGGTGGAGGCCTCTTTACCAGATGGGTAAGAGGACCTGAACAACACTAGAGGTGTTTATTTATACCTTTGCAAAGTTAGTATCACGAGACATGAGGTTGCCTAATGACTAATGGCTGAAATTGTCCAGGCAGGATGCTTTTCTCAAGAATGAGGTAGCTTGACTGCGTTAGGCACTGTGGCCTTGTCTATCACCACACATATAACCAATTTCCAGTGCCAGCCATTCCCAACATCTCTCTCTTCTCTGTTTTGTAAATGATGGGTGTGTAGTTGAAGCTGGAAAAGCTGTGCTCGGAGAATACAGTTGAAATATCCATCACAGTGGTCAGTTACCAGTTTAACTGGCAAATGTCAGAAGCTGTTGATGATTTGAACCTTTTACAGCTAATATATTACTATGGCTTTGCTTTTTATATATCTTGTGGTTACACTTTTCTGCTGGATGTTTAAGACCAAGTTAAAGTAAGACCTGCACTAATAAAAATTAACTTCTTGCTATCTATCAAGGTCAGTTAAGTCTCCTCAGGATTTACCTTGGAAGCATGAACAGCACCTCTAAGTTTCTCTGTCGGTGTCAGCCATCTGGATGAGTCACGGCCATTGCCTGACCAAGTCATTTTCTGTGAAAGCTTGAGAGATTTTTCCTTTCCAGGTGACTCTCCTTAGGCACACTATATATCATAGAAACTTTCCTCTGTGGTCGCATACCTTCCTTGATCAGAAAATCAGGGACTCGGGGCTGGGGATTTAGCTCAGCGGCAAAAGCGCCTGCCTGGCAAGCTCAAGGTCGTGAGTTCAGTCCCCGGTACCGGAGAAAAACAAAAAAAAAGAAAATCAGGGACTCAACCAAGTTACCGGATATCACCGCTGAGGTTCTCTTTTGTCCTGAGTGCTCACTGACCTTGGAGGGCTAGGACCAAAATATTGGCTATCCTTGCTAGGCGTGGTGGTGCACACCTGCAATCCCAGCACTTAGGAGGCTGAGGCAGGCAGATCCTTGCAGAGTTTGAGACCAGCTTGGGCTACAAAGTGAGCTCAAAGCGTACCTGAACTGCATATTGAGACCTGTTTCAAAAAGAAAAAAAAAAAAATATATATATATATATATATATATATATATATAGGCTATCCTCTTAGCCCAACCTACCTCTAATTTTTGGTCTCCAAACCTCAGCTTTGAACATCCAGAAGAGAAGATTAATGACATTACATTATAAGGGAGGCAGTAAGCTTGATATTGTTATCTTACCAGAACATCAAATACCTAAGAACATAAGATGGAAGCATTATTTTCTAACAGCCATGAATATCATAATATTTAAATCACTATAGAATATTAACAGACAACAGTTACATATTTTCACACAGAAATTTAGAAATCAAAACCATACGTAACATTGCAGCATGAAAATCATGATGACATTTTGTAACATACATAAATTTTCATTTTGACATAACGTAACCCTTTTAATCAATCATCTCTATCTAATACATAAGATTTTACCGAACTTGTTGTCCCTTAATGGAATGTACATCACAAGTTTTTGTTAAAGGCAGAGGTCTGAATCCAAAAGAAAAGTCTTATCAGAGTAAGCAATCCTTAGGCCGGGCGTGGTCACGCATGCCTGTAATTCCAGCACTCAGGAGACTGAAGCAGGAGGATCATTGCAAGTTTGATACCAGCCTGGGCTACAAAATGAGCTCAAGTCCAGCCTGAACTGCATAGCGAGACCCTGTCTCGAAAAAAAAAAAAAAAAATGTAATAGTAAATGTTGACAAGCGAAGTCTATTATAAAGTGTGAATTTTGAAGGGAAAGATTCTTCCTTTTGTGTTTGTAATTTAATTTTGATTCTACAGTAAAAGCATTCAACAATACCTTGACATTGAGGGTTATGAGGAATCCCTGTAATAAGGGAAATACGAAGTTTTACAAAACCTTTGGAAAGTATCACTTGCATGTGCTGGGTCATTGTCAGTCTTAAGTGTCCATATGCACTAAAGGTATCCAAGCAATGAGCAATGACATGTTTGGCCGTTTCACCAGTGCGGGCAGAAGCAAAAGTAAACCCTGAGGAAGTGTCCACTGAAACGTGGACCCAGCACAAAAAACCAAATTCAGGAAAATGAGTGCCATCCATCTGCCAAAGATGATTGGGATATAACCCTCAGGGATTGACCCCCCCATAGCAGGCGAAGGAAGGTGTATTATACATGAGGAACATGGTTTAACAATTTCTCGGGCCTGTTCCTGCATCAGATGGAACTGTTTGCGTAAGGCAGAAGCACTTTGATGAAAGGTGGCATGAGAAGCAGAAGCCTGTTGAATGGTATGTGAGGGAGTGACAGTGACAGCACCCAGCAATCTGTCAATAGCAGTGTTCCCCTCAGTGAGAGGCCCTGGCAATTGGGAATGAGAACATATATGACCAATAAGACAGGGAACGTGACGTGGCCGTACAACAACTTGGAGAGTGTGAAGTAGATGAAAAAGGTCTTCTTGACCAGTGTGTATGGTGAGGGTTTCAGTGTGGTGCATTACACCGCAGACATAAGCACTATCTGGAAAGAGGTTAGTTGGAACAGATAAATGATCTTGCAAGGCCCATATGACTGCTTGTAATTCAGTCTTTGGGCAGGACAGAAACCCATATCCTGTATTCTGTATCCTGTATCCTGTATCCTGTATCCTGTAACCATGACCACTTGCTGTTACATAACCTCCCTGCCCCGAAGCGGACCCATCCATGAAGACAGACATGCCTCCTGCTACGGGGACTGAGCTTATTTTTGAAGGGAAGGCAAAGGGTATGAGTGGAGCAAATTGAATTAATTTGTCTGAAGAATAATGACAATAACACCAGAGAAATTAGCCCAAAAATGGATGGAACTAATTAATATTGCCAAATAAAGTCTAAAAATTATTTTAGATTGATCTGAACAGTTTGGGATAAGTTGTTTTCATTGGAATAGGTGACCCAAATATGAAGAAGTTATCATAGCTTGTACCTGGGCCTTGTTCTAAATGTGAGGCAGCTGATGTGCCTGTTGACATTGGAGGTCTGACTATCTCTGCTCCCAGAGAGAGGCAAGGCCACCCCAAACTCTCATTTCCTGCTCTGATGACTGAGAAGGCCAGGGGAAGCTGCAATACCCCTATCCAAGAACATCACCATCGGTGAGCCAATTCAACTGCTTTTAGATACAAGAGTAGCTCATTCTGTTTTGATTTCCTTCTCTGGAAAACTATCCTCTAGGACCAGGCATGGTGGCACATGCCTGTATCCCAGCACTCAGGAAGCTGAAGCATGAGGATCGCTGTGAGTTTGAGACCAGCCTGGGCTACAAAGTGAGTTCAAGACCAGCCTAAACCACACAGTAAAACCCTACCTCAAAAAAAGAAAAGAAATTGTCCCTAGATTTGGACTACCCCAGTGTCATTATCCTTCAGAGTGACAAATAGCTCAGGGAGTGGGGAAGTCTGTAAGAATAAGGTACCAGTGTCATTCCACTTGGCAGTCTCAATCTTCTGGAAAGGCAGAGCGAGCCAACCAGATCCTAAAGCAAGCTCTAGCAAAACTTTGCCAAGAGATGAGTCCTGGCTCTGATTGCTACCACAGCACTCATGAGGATTTGTAACACGCCCAAAATTGGGCTAAATTTGAGCACATTTGAGATGTTATCCGGAAGGCCATTTCTATCCTCTGACATGATGGCAGGCCCACAGACTATGAGACTCTTACAGTAGCTCATCAGTCTGGACCAAGAACAACAGGCTATCCAAATGTACAAGGAAAAAAGGGCTGTAGCCCCTGGCCCAGGGGAACCACAGTGTCCATCCTGGAGACCAAGTGCTTATAAAAACTTGGAGAGGAAACAACGACCAGCGAAAGCCAACATGGAAAGGCCCCTTTTCAGTGATCCCTGGCCCTTGCAATACCCACTGCAATTAATGTGGGAGAGATGGTTGGGTTCATCTTTCTAGAATAAGGCCAGTCCCACCTGAACTGTCTGAAGAACAAGACCACCCAAAAGAAAAAAGCTACTCCTGTGAGCCTCTGGAAGACTTGAAATTTCCCTTCAAAACAGAAAGCCCCAGCGGTGCTACAGATAAGTAAACAAGACCTTGCTAAGGCCAAGGCCCTTAGACTCTTGATAAATTTATCTGACATACCTCTCTCACATACGTTTTTCTGTACAGGAAGCGTGGAAGTCTGACCTCCTCCTCACATCTGGACTAATAAGTTTCTTTCTCCCATCAAACAGGTAGCTTAAGGGTCACTAACTCTTTTCTCATTATTTTCTGACAGGTTTTTCTTCCCTCAACCCAGCCACAAGCCACAATCCCAAGGCAGCTGGAAAGTACATAATCCCTAATCGATAGGGTCCATGGCCCTTCCAGCCTATAACACCACGTCCAGAACAGCCAAAGGCTCATGGAGCCAAGTTTGGGATCAGTGTCACTGTCTTTTTTTTTTTTTTTTTTCCCTGTACCGGGGATCAAACTCATGACCATGCGCTTACCAAGCAGGCGCTTATGCCGCTGTGCTATATCCCCAGCCCAGTGTCACTCTGTCTTTATTCTGCAACTACAGTATTTATTGTAAAACAATAAATCCACAACCTCCTTGCCCCACCCCCCATGGGCCTGAGATGGAACCCACAGCCTCAAACGTGCCAAGCACACATTCTACCCCACCCAACAGCCACATTTTGGTGCAATTTCCAGATCCCTAAAAACTACAAGCAAATTTGTGTGACAATTGCTCCCTAGACTGCCTTACCTACTTTACAGGTTAATTAGGAAATCATTTATGTAGAAGTGTTTTGATAAATAAAAATGACGTGTGTGAGGCTGGGGTGCAGTTCAGTAGTAGAGGGCTTGCCCAGCATGCATGAGGCCCTGGGTTCAATCCGCAGCACCATAAAAGAAAATAATAAGCAGAGGACTGGAAGATAGCAGTGGTTCTCTGTCTTAGTGCCCTTGCTTGGCTGCTAGCCAAGTTTCTTTTGTTCCCTTCCTCTCTTCCCGTTCAACCCTAGCCTATACCATTCTTATTGTTATTGAAATAGCTGCTTTTACTTCTTAAACCAGGATCCACCCTTCCCCTCTTTCAAAGCACAACTCAAAGCCACCTCCTGTGGAAAAACTTCAGTCCTGCAGAAGGAAATGATAAACTTCCAAAGAGGCGATTACACCACTCCCTCAGGTTTCCTCGGTCAGCATGTGTTTAAGTGTCTGGCCTGGTTCACAGTAATGGGCACTTTTGTAGGAGCATCATAAAGCACTTTTACTTACATTTATGACCCTTAAAAGTTTTGTTTTCACCAATGTTAGATATTTTTAAAAATTAATACAGTAAGGGCAAATGTCTCCCAACAGCAGTACTGAATAGCTCATGATAAAAAGGAGGGAGAGCCACAGATCTGGCTTTGCCATTGACTAGACAGATTATCTTTTATTTGAAATGCTTGGTATCAAAAGTGTCTTCAGAAGCCAGGCAAGCTGGCACACATCTGTAATCTCTGGGAGGCTGGGGCAGATTCCAAGTTCCAGCCCAGCACTGTTGGCAACTTTTGTGATTTAGCGAGACCCTCAAAGTAAAAAATAAAAAGGGCTGAAATGGAGCTCAATGAGAAGGCCCTGGGTTCAATCTCCAGTACTTGGGCGGGGGAGGGGGGTCTCCAATTTCGGATTTTTGAGTGCTTGCATATAAATAATGAGATTCCTTTGAGATGGGACCCAGGTCTTCAGCACAGGAAAAAAAATATTTTTTTTGGTACTGGGGAATTGAACCCAGACCTTCCATAAGCACTCTGATACTGAGCTGCATCCCCAGCCCTTTTTTATTATGAGACAGGGTCCCCTTAAGCTGCCCAAGCAGACCTCCAACTTGTGATCCTCCTCTCTCCTGGAGTAGCTGGGATTACCTGCATTGACCCGGCACAACAGGGTTACATTCCCGTTATATATGCTCACAAAAAAACACGTGCTGCGGTTCCATCCCTGGCATTCATTGCAATACTGCAATCACGTGTGTGATTTGATTACTGCTTGGAAGAGCTCTGTGATGGTGATGACATCTGGTTTTGCTCTCCACATAATCTCCTGCTCCTACCGCTGCACTTAGTAATAGAACTTCAATTTTGTTGGATAAATGAGATCTGAAAACAAAATTTTTGGATTGTTTAGATTTGACCACTTAGTATGGGAAAAATATGTTAGTGATGCGGGATACTATATGAGGTAATGTGGGTATTGTGCCTGAGGTAAAAGTTATTATAGCAGGAGGTGGTGGCGCACGCCTGCAGCCCCAGCACTCAGGAGGCTGAAGCAGGAGGACTGCCGCGAGTTTGAGGCCAGCCTGGCCAACCTGGTGAGTTCAAGGCCAGCCTGCCCTGCCTGGCGAGGCAGTCTCAAAAAAAAAAAAGTTACTATAAACCTCAAGACTACAGTCCGCTGGACAGAGTTCACTGGGAACCTTTCAGAACAGTTCTATCAGGGTATCACGACTACCGCTGAGGAAACAACCACCACCGAGGTTGCAAGCGCTGGACAGCAATTCCTTTGGCCCAAGACCAGAGCTGCATTGGCTCCTTACTTCCGTACACCGGCCCAAGATGGCGGGGCCCGTAACTGAAAACCGATTCAAGATGGCGGCTCGCAGCTCCCCGCCCCCGGTAGACCGCACGTGGCCGCCGAGGCCACGCCCACTTCCGGCTCCCCCCACGCGGGCATGGCTGCTTTGGGAACTTTGCTCTGGAGTGAGTGGGTCAGGGTCTGTGCACTCGCCGATCCGAGGGCGCGGGCCAGCCACCCCTGCCATGGCCGTGCGGCTAGCCCTCTAACTCTGCCCTGTTTCCCCGCAGGTGTCCGAAGGCTGCACTGCAGCGCGGCGGCCCGGGCGGGCGGCCGGTGGCGCCTGCGGTGAGTGCTGGGCTGGGGGCGCGGGTCCCGCGGGCGGGCGGACGGGGCCTCACGCACTGCTCTTCTCCCCGCAGGCAGGGCCTGGCCGCCAGCCCCTCCGGGTACGGGCCGCTCACCGAGCTCCCGGACTGGTCCTACGCGGGTGAGCGCGGGCCGGCTTTCCTGCGCGGTTCTTCCCCGGGGGGTGTTTTTGTCACGTAAACTCTGACCACGGAAAGTAAAGACAGGAAGGGTCGTCCTGGTTTGTGGGGATGAACAGAAGCTAATTCCGACGCCGGCCGTCCTGGGACTGCGGGGGTCACAAGACTTGCCGCTGCTCAGAGGGGACGCGATGTTCAAATAGGAAGAACACACCCTGTGTGCTGAGTACTTGTGAGAACGTATACCAGAAGCAGCAGGATAAAGACTGAGGACAAGCCTTTCGAAGTCTTTCCCGCCCGCGTGGTGGTGCACAGCTGTAATCGCAGCACTTGAGGGGCTGAGGCAGGAAGATCACCAGCGGCTCAGGGCCAGCCTGAACTACAGCTGGAGATCCTGTCTCAAAAAAACGACAAAAAAGAGAAAAAAAAGGATTTTCCCTTAAAAGATGAAGCCGCGTATAGTGGCACTTGTCTGTAGTCTAGCACTTAAGAGGCTGAGACAGGAGCATCTTGAGTTGGAGACCAGCCGGGGTGGTATAGGGAGAACGTATCTCAAAAGAGAAGAAAGGACACGCCTGTAATCCCAGCACTCAGGAGGCTGAGGCAGGAGGATTGTTGCGAGTTCGAGACCAGCCTGGGCTACAAAGTGAGCTCAAGGCCAGCCTGAACTGCATAGTGAGACCCTGTCTCAAAA